GCTCATGAAGAATATCCACCAAAAGATGGTTATGAGAACAGTCGTCAACTTAATGTAGTGGCTAGAGCAATATTAATTCAACCTAACTTGGTAGATTTATGGAAGCAAATTGGTTATCATGAGATATGTAGCGATGTCAATGAACTTGTAATGCAAGGCGCCTTATTGATTTTTTTTCCTCCTACTCCGCCAAATAATTGGGAATGTCCTGACGTGCGTACTATTGTAGATCGTTTAAAACATCTTACTGAACTAGGATTTCAATTAACATCTAATGTTATGGAAGAAGCATTACATTTGTTCGAACATAGGTTAAATGAAATAGGTGACCTCCTAATGGAATCATTTCAAGTAATTCAGAATTCATCTCAAGTAATTCGTAACTTATCAAAATCGGAACTTGCAAGTTCCTGTCTTATTCAAGCAATTAAACCCGAAAGGAATCTCAAGAAAATAGACTTGTTAGAATTTTTAATTGACAAAATCGATCAACCTATCGAAGCTCTAAAAAGTGCATTAGATCATTATAAAGTTGGATTCAAGTTTAACTATGAGACAATTAAATCAACGCAGAAAATTAGATCGTTATCTGTTAACTCCAATCTTTATTATTGGATTCTGAAAAATTATGGTCCTAATTCTGAGGTAACACAGAAATGCTTTGATGACATTTTCGAATCGAGAATTTGGGTGGACTTAAAATTACAGAAAACTCCAGACAGAGAAGTTCCGGAGGGACTGACTATCGGCGCCTTTAATTCTATTTGCTCAATTTATCTCGAATTCTGTAATGAAAAGGTTCCATTTAAAAACAGTTATTTGCAATATTTACAATTGGCAAAAAATCATGAAATCATTCACCCATTTTTCAAAATAAATTTACATCATGTATTTGACTTACCACCGTTAAAGTTTTCTTTAAAAATTACATATGAATATATTAGGCCAGAAATTAAATTAAACAGAGCTCAAAGAAATAAGAGAAAATCTAATGAAATAAGTAACCAGCAAGCTCATAATGAAAGTGAAAGGAAAAATTGGTTTGAGTTACTTGAAAAAATATATTACCACAAACTTCATACAGATAATTCTGATATTACTGAAAATTTTAAAGAAAGCTTTGAAAGCTTTTGGGATAAAATTATACTGGCTAACATTCCAGAATTAAAATATTTAAGTAATAATTCTAATAGAAATAATGAAAATGAACTTCAACAATTTACACAATTTTCTGAAGTTTTTTCAAAAAAACAAAGGCAATGAAATAGAATATATATATAAACTGTATAATTATTTATTGTAAAGTTATATTTAAATAGTTTAAATCAAAAATGCATTTGGTAAGTTTAATTTTAAAAAGTAAATTAAATTATTAATAACTTATAATAATTTATTAACAAAAGTTTTTATAGTATAATTTTTTTAAAAATAATAAGATATAAAAATGTTATAATAGATGAAAGATATAGGTATTGTAATTTAATAATGTTTATATTTTAAATAATCTTATATTATACTAATTTTTAAATTTTTAAAATAGAATTTTAAATTATTTATTTTTTTTTAAAAAAAAGAAATAAAAATAAAAAATAAAATAAATTATATAAATAATTGAATATTAAATATCACAAAATCAAAAAAAAAAATATTTTATAAAAAATTAAAGATAAGTTATATTTATTATAATTATGATATTTTTATATTTTTTGTATTTTTGAATATAATATAGATATTAAAAAATTATGCCAAACTTTTTTATATATTATTTATTATTTTTGTATTTGTATTTAATTATATCTTATTATTTTTATTATATAAATGCATTTTATTAAAAAAAACAAAAAAACAAAAAAAAATAAGTAAAAGTAAAAAAAAAAAAAAAAAAAAAAAAAAAAAAAAAAAAAATTATTTTTTTTTTTTTTTTTTTTTTTTTTTTTTATTTTTTAA